TAGATGATCAACCTCCTCGAGAGGAAGATCATGAATTTGATGTCTTAGCCATTGGAGAAGCTCAAAAAATAGATAAATTATATCAAACTAAAGTTTTGGAAATTCAAGCAAATCCAATTAGACATGCCTATGTTCTTGAAAACGGAATTTTATATAAATTATTTAATTGTGGTATATCTACACGAAAATTGCTTTATGTACCTCCTACAATGGTAAAGCAATTATTAACTGCTTATCATGATGCTCCATGGGCAGGTCATTTTGGTTTTCATCGAACTTATTGGAAATTAAAAGATAAATATTGGTGGCCTGATATGAAAACTACCATCAAAGATTATATTCAAAGCTGTTTAAAATGCAGAAAGTTTAATATCGATCGTCGTAAAGCTCCTGGTTTACTACACCCTATTGAAGCACCAGGTGGTCCTTTCCAGTTAATTGGTATTGATTATACAGGTCCTTTTCCGACAACACCTCAAGAAAATAAATATGTTTTAGCAATCACTGATTATTTTACTAAATGGGTTATTGCAATTCCTCTCCCAAATCAGACTGCTCGAACAACAGCTGAAGCTTTATATGAACATTATGTATGTATTTATGGTGTACCGCTGAGAATTCTTTCTGATCAAGGTTCTCACTTCAACAATGAATTAATGGCTGCATTTACTCAATTATTAGGTTGTCATCACATAAAATCAACTCCATATCATCCACAAACAAATGGTGCTATTGAGCGATTTAATGCAACATTTGAACGTCAATTAGCAAAGTTAACTGATCAACAAATTAATGATTGGGATATTCATCTAAAATCAATTACATTCGCGTATAATACAGGACAACACGCAACAACGAAATTCTCACCATATCAATTACAATTTGGTCGAAATCCTACATTACCACCTGATACGCCAAGAAGATCTTATGAATTCTCCAAACCAAATGATTATTTTCATTATTTCAAACAAACACTGAAAATTTATCACCAACACGCAACCATGAACATCAAACAACAGCAACAAATTTACAAGAAATATTTCGATCATCATCGCCCTGATATCTACTACTCACCTGGTGATCAAGTACTTAAACGAATTACAACTCAACACACTAAATTGGGCGAACTTTTTTCTGATCCTATGGTTGTGGTTAGAAGCAAACATCCAACTTATTGGATAGAAGACCCAACAAGTCATAAAATTCACCAAGTCCACATCTCTCAATTACGAACTTGTCGTCTTCATCATTAGTTAAAATAATACCATCAATTATATTACTATTATTTCAACAATTGGCAACCAAATCTTTTGATGATACTGATTTTTTCAACAATTGTTAATGAACGTACACTTTTATTTTTACAATTTCTTCTTTACTTACTCAACCTCCATTTCATTTATTATTATTATTGAATTCTTATCAAGCATTAAATTTATTTACTATTCGACGAACAACATTATTATCAAATGAACATTTTTGTTTTTATACATTATTTGAATATGATAGTGCAGAACATTTTTTTTGGAAAGTTTTTTCACAATATAGAAGTGAATTACAGAAATAAATGAAATCATTTATTGGCTTGTCCTTTAGTGAAAATGTTCCAGATAGTGAAATCAATATGTCATGTTTAAGATCAATTCTTGCAAATCTTTTTATCTATCTTGAATCTCTTGTACAACATATACCAAATGGAACTTGTAATTCAACGTCTTTTAACAACATTTCAATCATATCAACAACAATCAATTGCTGGAATTGATAAAAATCAATGTGAAGTAATACAAATTCAATCATCAAATGCATTTCTATAATTGATTATTATTCAGCATTATTTCAATTTCTTTGTCAATTATATACAAATGAATTTCAAAAAAAAAAAAAACAAAATATTTTATCAATAACAATTGATGAATCATCAAATCCAACATTAAAATTATTTGATACAATGCAACTATTATTTTTTATAAATTAATTCATTTACTAACAATAGATAATTATCATTTAGAAGAATTTTCTGAATTAATTAAATCTATTTATGAAATATTAAATATACCATTAACAGCTGATACATTAACGATATTTATTGAATATCTTGATTTATGTTCAAATCGACTTGAACCTATGAATATAATACGTTATCGACGAACACATTTAATGCTTGCTTTACATTGTTTATGTTGATTATTACGTTATGTTCACCAACAACAATTTGATACTAATATACGTTCAAAAATTTCTATGTGTTTTCGTTCAATTTTATTTGTTTACATATTAAAAGTGACATTAAAAGTAACACAATTTTGTAATCAATTATATGACCAACAACTAAAATCCATTTTATGATATTCAAAAAAAAAAAAAAACAAAAAAACATGGTCATAAAAAACATTATGTTAAGTTCAATGACACTATCCACCATATTGTGGTGACATGTGTTTGTGTATGTGGGCTTTAGTCAATATCTACATTAAAATGTACTTAATTATTTCATTTATGAAATATTTTATACGTTTACTTCAATCGTTGATATATATTCATATTCCCCATACATATAAGTAATATTAATGTATTCGCATATAATTCAAAAAACAAAAATAATAATAAACAATAAATACATATATAACTTTATCCACAATTATATGTATCATATCGTGAATAACAATTGACCAATGAATTATATTGTTCCATATGATATACTTCCAGTTACGTCATCTATTATATAACCATATGTTTATTGTATTGTTTACTTAATCATTTGTCTATTCATTAATCCACTTACGAATTAATTTTCTGTTTCGTTTTTACTATTGTTATTTGTTTATTTCTGGTTTATTATTTCCATCTTTACTTTTAATGCCAGATTATTATTTATTTTTTTTGGTTACGTTATTTTCATCATTGAATTATATATCTTCTAACGTGTTCATCTATATTATTATTTGATTAGATTATTAGATCAAATATCCTTTACAGGTTTACAGATATATTGGTTATTCATTTTATTTACGTTCAACGTTAACTATTTGTGTTTTGGCTTATTGTTTCTGATCAACTTCATTTTTTTTACATATCATTATTTATTGTGTTTTCGTTTCTTTAGTTGTTCCGATCATTATTGG